CCCTCGATCACTGGATGTCAGTCTCAACGGCACATCGTGTTATTAATCTCAACTCCTGGGGAGTATACAACTCTTGCAGGCACTAGGCGCACCGAGTTATTACGGCTTTCTCATCCGTACGAGGTACCCATTCACAACTGGGTGGACTTGGAGACATAGTCACAGTACTTTGTCCAAATTCACTGCACGTTGCTGTACCTGCAACTAGGTGATTGCACGTATTCATGTGGCCACCATCTGGTCATATACCAACGGATTCGTGGGTTCTCTTAAGTGCACAGGGTTGTGTACTGTACAAAAACGGTTACTGATTTTGTCTGTAGGTTATAATACAGTTTTCATACATGTTATTCATGATGTTTTCGAGCAGCGGTTAAATAACCTCGTATATTTTAAATTTCATTTCACATAATTGCAGAACAATGTATGTTTTACAATCAAAAGCAATTATATATAGTATTTTTCTAATTTCGGTTTCTTTTGTTGGTCGATCTCGCAAACCAGTTACAACTTTGTAAGACCTCATCAGTAGTTTGTTCTCATCAGTAGTTTTTTCATCGCTTGCTCCAAATAACTTTGTGATGGGCCCGAAGTAAAGATATCATGTATGACGTCATATTTGACATCCAGCTAACCTGGTCTGCAAACTGTTGAAAACATACCCTTAGCTTAAGGAATTTGGTTAAGCTCATCGTTTTAGGAAAAAGCTATTCCAAGTTCCAATTTTTATGGGAATGTGAACAAGGATCCCTATTAATTTTGAAACAAAATATAGTGAAACGTTGTATTTTTAGGACAATGAATTATAATGATAAATAGGGGAAGAATGTATTCAAAAGTAAAAACTTTTTGAACACTGTTCAAAGACTTAACTGATATTGAGAATCAGTGTTTGTGTACTAATGTATGTAATGTTTTTGGTTTTGTATATCCCTGTAGCCAATGCCACGAGAAGCTGTGTGCCAACTGGCTTTAAGCTATCATGATCCTCTATTAAAAGCTGTGTTGTCCGGAAGAAAGTATATGTGTAATACGCACGTAACATAGACACGACCACATGTACTGAAAATGTAATTTTGGATCTCAAGAAAAAAGTCCACTTTGATGTCAATAGATGACGTCAAATGCTTCCATCAGAGCCGAACCGTCTGGTAAACAAATTGGAATGACATTCCTGATTTGTAATAGAAAAATAGCACCAGTTCAGTCATACGACGCGGAGAATTGGGGATCAGAGACAATGTAGCATATATTGAAACTATTCATACGTTGGCTTAAAGACAATCTCTACACGTAGATGTGATGTCGTCCCCGGCTAATTACATTTCCCGTTCGCATATAGGCGAGAAGGAAACTATTGGATTCAGTTAATGTCAGTGCCAAATTCAAGGTACATGTACCACCAAAATGTAATAATATGCTTGTGCACCTGATACTTGTAGATGTGACTGGGCCTAAAAGGTGAAACTTTAGTCTTTTCAATTCCGCTTTGGATTTGAGGTGAGGTGAGGTGAAATTGGGTTTTACGTCGTACTTGAGAATATTTCACTCATATGACGACGTGCATGCGTGTGTATGTGTATGTGTGGCTGCTTGTACTAGCCCAGACTTAAGCTGGTTTTATAGTGCTAGCCCACTGAGATACCATGCCGCAGTGAAGCATGAATACCCCACTCAGACACATTAAACTGACTCCGAGCCGACCAGTCATTGTTTCACCCATTAATGCCGAGCGCCAGGCAGGGACCAACAAGTACCATATTTTAACGTGTTTTGGTATGACGCGGCCGGGGATCGAACCCACGACCTTCCGCTCTCCGGGCGGACGCTCTAACCACTACACCACGGAGGCGGTTCTTTGGATTTGAGAAGAAATCAAAACTTGAAGTATTTATGATACTGCCTTAGTGTTACAGGTATGTTCTGAAAAAAATAGATAAAGGCGACAAAATCGTAGCAAATACAGTGAAAGTGAAGTTAATCGTTCACCTGAAACATATATACACCGAAAAAAACGTATAAAAGTCGGGAACAATGTTTCAGGTTCATTTCAAGAAATGAATTTAATAGAACACAATTTTGTCATATGGAAATGTTCTTCAGTTGTCAACTTACCCTTTTAGCCAACACCTGGTGTCATCACTGATTTTCAGTCATACGTTCGGTAGATAATGGATTTTGACACCGTAAAACATTTGAAAGTTTTACTGAGGCACTGAATGTCCTTACCGCATTAAAACTGTTGAACAAGCTGTTGAACAAGAGCCGTGTTGCAAATTCACTACTGAGGTCACTATGACCTTGCACCTTTATTGGCGAGACTAAAGTACATTTATTTCATGCCACGATCTTCAGAATGCAAACATTTACTGTTTTCTTGACGCCTAAATGTCAACGAAGAGTCTGTGGGATGATGTACGTAACGTGTTTTATCAAACACAGAGACGTGTTGCAATTACTCACCACGCAGTCTGGTATATAACGATGATTTGATGGAGACCGTCTATCTGGACACGTTTATTAGATAATTGTTTGATGTCTCACGAAGACCACATTTCTACGCAAGGGCAATATGCAATTAGAAGTTAATACTAAATTATACAAGGTCACACCAAGGACAGTTTGGTAGCATATGAACTAAAATCCTGATTCCAATAACATTCATTTATTCGTATTAAGTACAGCAACAGCGATTGCATCACTGGTGTTTTGAGGAAACAAAATGCTAGTACTTTTGTTTGGTGTTTAAAGCCGCAATCAGCAATATTCCAACTATATATAAATAATCAAGTCAAGGACAGTCAATCCAGTGACCAACAGCATGAGCATTAATCTACGCAACTGGGAAACGATGACAACCAAGTCAGCGAGCCTGACCACCCGATTATTATAGTATATTTATATTGCGCACATATCCACACAACTGGTGCATGTTCAAGGCGCTGGTATTTTTCCCTCGATCATTGGATGTCAATCTCAACGGCACATCGTATTATCAATCTCAACTCCATGGGGAGTATACAACTCTTGCTGCCACTAGTACTTTGTCCAAGTTTACTGCACGTTGTACCCGCAACTAGGTGTTTGCACGTATTAATGTGGCCACCATCTGGTCATATACCAACGGATTCGTGGGTTCTTTTAAGTGCACAGGGTTGTGTACCCGATCCCATTAGTCTTCTCTTACGACAGGCATTGGTTGCCGAAGACCAAATTGATTTCTAACCATGTTAGTGCCAAGTTTTCTTTGTTAAAAGTTACAAATACATTTGCTCTGAATCCTTTATTTAAAATAGAATACTTGTCTTTGTGGCATTAATTTGTAAGTAATCCAGTTAACTCGGCGACGAAGCTGACATGAACAACATATGTGGCGTGTGATACAGAAGAGGTCAAAAGATACCGACTATTACATCTCAAATCTACTTGCTAATGCCGACACACGATGCAGCTGTTTCCAGTACCCTATCCATCACCTACAGCTTATACCCGACAACAAAATGTTTGAGTATTCAGCTTTTAGTCATATTGCATTGTCGTTGTCGTTGTGTGTTAATGTAGCTGGCTCTGCGATCTCCATAGTGTTTCCTGCTGTTCAGGCCGCGGGGATCACTCATAGTGTCCATTTGTAGGACAGGGCTGTCAGTACTCCGGCAAGTCTGACACTACAGTGTATCAGTTAACACCTTAATGACAGACATCCCAGCCCGTGTATAAACCCGCGAGTATTTGGTCGATAATTATCTGTGTGGTTAGGAATATGGTCAAAGGAACGATGTGTATGCATTCATAACAATATACTACAACCACGGCAGTTAATTTCAAAGAGGGGCTTTTATCTCGAGTGTAAATGGATCAAGTCAGAAATTTCACAACGTGTGCTGCTGGTGAATGAATGCCATACTGTGCTCCAACATCTCAGTGCTGACAACAATATGAACTCCTAGCTGGCCAGACCAGTTATATATTCATAATAACATACGCTATGTCTAAATATACAGGAACTTCTTAATTGTAACAACGGAAAATAAATGACAATGACAAAGCAACGTTGAATGTGTAAATATACAGGAACCTCTTCATTGTAACAACGGAAAATAAATGACAATGACATGGCAACGTTGAATGTTTAAATAAACAGGAACTTCTTCATTGTAACAACGGAAAATAAATGACAATGACAATCCAACGTTGAATGTCTAAATATACAGAAACTTCTTCATTGTAACAACGGAAAATAAATGACAATGACAATGCAACGTTGAATGTCTAAATATACAGGAACTTCTTCATTGTAACAACGGACAAATGATTGACAATGATGTTATGTATATGCCAGAGAACAAATGAAGTAACCGTTGATGCTGAATCCAGTCAAGAAACGGTTCAGGAAGATTTAAATTATCAGTTAGGACTTGTTCCAATATGTTTCAGTGTGTTGTACACAGTGAAAAATGACCTTCTGTTGTACATGTTAGTTGCTTGGACTTTCCACAAACATGTTAGTCTCCTGGACTTTCCACAAACACCTGTTGTCATCACAAATTGATTCATAAACATATGCTTAGGATTTTGTCAGAATCTTAATGAACTTTGCTATAATTAGTTACTAAAGATCTCGGAAATGGTTTTGTCGTTATTATCTCAAACTACATATGTACATATTTTCTGTATGCTGACACAGAGTTTGATATTGTAATGACCACCAGAGCGTTGTTAACATACAAAATCGTAAGATGAGAAAATTAAATCATTTTGCTTATAATGTATTTAAAAGAAACTCGTGCAACTCATAACGCCTGGATTTAAAAAAAATGTAAAACACAAAACACCCGTAAACGTGCTAATATAGACATAAATAGACATATAGACATATATACTATCTGGTACAACCTAACTAATATACTAGTTCACAATATTCTTCATTTAAATAAGTTAAAATATCACGATCTATATGCGCCTTTCGTTTCAAACATAACAGCATAAAACAATTGCATTACCTTTAAACTGTTCCCATACGCAACTCGCAGAGTCTTCACACCCCTGGCATCTGAAGGAGGATAAAGTATCCCCCAAATAAACACCATTAGGCCGACACGAAGGCAGCTGTACGAGAGCATCGCACAAGGCGTGTTCTATTGACAGCGTCGAGGATATGAATGGGAAGCGTGGTTCTCTGGCTCTGCCCGTTATCGCCACAGCTATCTTAAGGCGCCACGAGCTCTTTGATCATGTCATCTAAAATTTCAACCAATCGATGCAATAATCGTACGTTGCTATAGTTACATGTTCCAATGTTCAATGAAGTTAGTCATGCCAAATGTAAATAGCCGAATTGCTATGAATCTCAGAACCAGGCCGGAAGTTAGGAATTTACAAAGTTACTCTGAAGGTGAATGAGTCAATTGCGAGATTTATGCCCTCGATCATAATCGCAGCAACCCGGGTATTTCCTATCAGAAATTCGTGTTGCCTTTGGTTACGGGCTGTTCCTAGAGCTACACTTCCCGTGTTAGGCGTAATTTACCATGAATCGTAAATCAAGTTGGACATTAACAATTTCTCAGGTAGCGATCTCAGACAATGGAGTCATTGGCTCTGAAGACGCCAAGAGCTGACCTTTAAGAAGTGTATCAATAATTAGTACCATCAGCTTTGTCGCGGTGCCAATTAACAGCAGGCAACATAAAAGCAATAATCAATATATCAACGAGTTTTGAAAAGACTTAATTTCTTATTAATTTCAAATATATGTTCAAAATCATATTGATGATTTCGAAAATCCGATACACATGGTAGAGTTTGGAGAGTAAGGAAAGTCGGGCAGAGTAACAGGGGAGATTGGAGTTCATTTGATGAAATGACAGTAAAACAAATATGTACCATCAGTCACAGGGAAGTAAACGATTCACATACACAACAGGGGTTAGACCTTCAGGTGGATCTGACCATTGGATATTGCATTCAGCTGCATATTGGCATAATTGAATATCAATTTGATCTCCCATTTACAAGTTCACATCCTTTCGTCGGGGTATCTTTTCAGGAAATCATTTACGGTTAAATCAATCGAACACATGCAATCAATATCATATTCCAACACAGTCGTTCATGTAAGTCATGTGTATATATTTTCATCATATTTCTACAGGTTCCTACGGAGATGATCGATTTGGGAAAAACTTTAATGGAGTAAAATGTTTGGTTGCTATCTTCATCATTTACTGACATCACAGAAATGGAAGCACAACACGTCTTGTACTCTCTAACATACTATTATTCCAGTGACGGACGTCACTCTGTCGGCGTTACGAGAACCCCAGTATTTAATTGGGATGGCTCTGCTGACTTAACAACATTCACTTGTCACATTCACTAGGTAAAAACATCACCTCATATAATGTACAATATGAATTATATTGTTTTCGGTAGAGTTGTGTCCTAATTATTGTCCTAGAATGAAGACAATCAATGGTAGTTTAAGCTCCGTGCCCATCCTTGTTCAGCCCACTGTGTCAGAAGATCGATACATGCGCCCACTAAGGAGAATGGCAGTTACTGGGGACAGTTTAGAGCAGAGGCGTGACAGGCGTTTCTAATTAAAGCAAAAATATATGGACCACTCTAGATAATAGGAGTCGGTGTTTACCGTCTATTTTGGAATTGATAGCGCGGATGCAGACAAGAATATTTCAGATCTTGTGTATCCAGATATATACCAGCAGGAAACCCCGTATGTGAAAACCCAACAACTTTCAGTATGTATATGTAATGTATTTTGGAGTACAACACCATAGAACACCAAACACTCCGCCCAACCTAGCCACTGCGTTTCTTTGGCCTGGATGTTAAAGCGTTCTCCCGTCACAGAAAAGGCCCGGGTTCGATTCCCCACATAGACATATAGGTAAACTGTGTTCTGGTGGAGTATTGTTAGTTATTACCACGGACTCAATATTAGTGAACTAATACAAATAACTAATTTTTACTATTATCTCACGACGGGTTTCCTGGGCAGGACAAAAGGCTACTTAGTTACTGTTGGAACAAGCTGAAAATTCAAGCAGCAATGTTTATGTTTTTAGTACTCTGTGACCAGCACTTCACCACATACTAACTCCAGAAAGGACGTTCTGCCAATCCTTTTGTCGTCAAGATTTATACACAATGCATGGTGTCGATATTCGGATACCATTACCGGATACAGAAGTAAGAGGTATCACTCAGTTGTGCGACAGGCCACAACTATTGACTCGGTCCTGCACGTTCAATACAGCTTATGCTGGGATACATGTCAGTGGATTAATGTATCGAGGGAAATTTCAAGGACATGTATGGAAGAAAAGCCGGCCTTGGCAACTAATCATTCGAGATTTTCTGTTTTCGTTCGCCTTCTCAGGGTTAGATGCACTACACAAAGATTGGACTGGACTAACCTTTCAGTCAAATAAAATGTTCTTGTTATTGTTTAAGTAACGACATCGCGTATCATTCAAATCTGGATGCTATGACCTTTGGCGTCATGGGCGTCATGTTGTGAAGTATCTGTACGGTGGACACGATGTCTTCTATTCATTTGACGAGCATGGCCTTGGAATACAAGCAAATTAGTGATTAATATTACAATACATTCTTAGAAGACGTTGATCGATGCTCATGCCGTTGATCACTGGATTGTCTGGTCCAGACTCAACTATTTACAGACCATATAGCTGGAATATTCTGAGTGCGGCGTAAAACTAAACTCACTCACTCACTCTATCACATCAATAGGATACACATTGTTGCATGTGTTCTGACATATATGGCAGTCTTTCAAGTTACAACAATGATAAGGGGCGGTTGGAAAGCTGAGTGGATAGTGATTCTTAAAGCCAGGCTGGATTCCACACAAGAATGGAACGCGAAAAACATAAAAAAACATAAAACTTACAGTCTGGACTATTTGACGAAACCGACTCCAGTAGTGACAAGTAAAATACAGTAAAATAGTGCTGACAGTTGTATGAATGGATCGCTTGAAATCAGCAATCACACCAGGGGTTCGCAAAAAAAGGGAACCAATGTTCAGCATTACCGATATTGCAGTCACACGAACCTAATTGTAGCAGCAACATCACCCATAACCCCCAATACCAGATGAAAGCGTAAAACCATATCAGCTTCGAGGACACAATGACATTTAGTAAATGGTCAAATGTAACATATGCTATTCAAAAATGTGTTGAACCGCGATGGCTGAGTGGGTTAGATCGCTGACGTTATGTGCTGGCCATTAGGTGCCTGACTCTGAGAGTCTGGATTCAAATCGCGGGATGGATCTGAACCTAACAAAAGTAGGCTACTGGAATCTTTACTGAGAAAGTGTAATCCTAAAATGGCCAAATATAACATATGTTACATATCAGCTTCCTTTTAGAACCTGTTCCCGGTAAGGAACCCTAATCGGGTCACCAGCACCCAAATACACCCGCTGATTGTTTACTTTACTACGACAATGGACTCGGAGCAGAACATCGTGCTTTCATGTCCGTTTCATCTTCGGTTGCCCTACCATCCTCCTTGTCTGTCTGCGTAAGTGGACATTTGAGACATCAAAATAAACACTCTCATCGTAAGGGCATATTGATCATACACCCTCTCTACATGACAGGTGTGGCTCGACTAGGTGCTTTTGATCCTCGGAGTTTTTCCAAGTGTCTTTATCAAGGGAAAATGACCAAACTGCCTCCGTTTGTGATAAAACGTGTATTTCATGCTATCATTTCGAATTTTTCTAATCAGTGATGTCATAAAATGAGTGTTCTAATGGAAGTAGTGTCTGACCATAGTTATTTAATGGCCAAATGCTGAGACCCTTTGTCAATATATTGAGATATGAAATCGATTGTCAACAATATTCTATCATTATGGGTCGGAATAATTCCCCAGTGCCACATGCGCCTAGAATGGGAATCGAGTGGACAGGTTTCGTTGGTTGATTTGCTCCCCTTGGAAGGAAAGTTGATCATAATATGACCCATTTGTTAGAGAGGATTTACAGGACGCTCTCATGTAGCTTCAATACAGAGCCCGGCATCGTGAAACATCGAACTGAAACATATACACATTTAAAATAGTATCGCAGCACATATGATTAGTAACTCCCATATAGCCACTTATATACACATCATACGTCTATTGGTATGATTATTTTTACCCTTCAGGCGAACAAAACATTGTGTTTTTACATATGAACGCATCACGATCAATAGAGCACCACGTATTGTATTACGTTTACCCGCCATTAAGCAAGTACACTGTTCTTACAGCTCTATAACTTGGAAAAGCTAATATGAGCCTCCTGGACTGCCAACTGCTCAAAGATGGCAAGTGATTGGTATGCGGAATGCTAGGACAGTTGGTTGTCAGCCATTGACTATAAGTCGACTGGCCAGAAACATCAACAGGTTAAAACTCAGGACAACATCTCAGGACTTCATCCGCCTAGCTTTGATTTAAGATCGACGTCACTGGAATTTGACGTCATGGGGAAGGGTTCCTTGGTCGGTCGAAAGTCGATGTCTTCGCCGAACTCTTGTTTTGGTGCCGCAGAAACTCAGCATTTGCACAAGCGAATATCTTGGAACAAGAACCGTTTGACAGGTGTTCATTGGCGGTTTGGGGTGCCTCTCACATGGTTGTCATCCTTTCCTACTGACAAACTCTGAATGGACAACGGAACATCGCTGTCATCTGGATGACCACATTTGGATGACCATATGTGCCTTTGGTAATTTCTTACCTCAAGAGGCTCGTTTTTGTATACTTATGTGTCTTCTTGCGGACTGTATGGCAGAATCTTGCAATTGACCGCATGGTATTAACGCCATACCACCATTGGTATCAGCCCTACCAAATGAGCCATTTTTTGTAATGCTTGCTTCTCTCAACAAACTACATTTTTCGTTCTTTTTGCGCTCAGATTTCTCATTTAATTATTCCTTGAGAATCAGTTGTTCCAGATTGGAAGTTAAACTTTACTTCTAAACTTAGTTCCTTGGCGATGATTTTTATATATGTGTATTCTGGAGACGACGATCCCGTTGTAGTGTGAGACACACGTCTTATGCTGTGAGACATATTTATTTCGCTAATCCACCCCTCCACACTTCTTCATGGTTCCTCTCAAA